TTTTTGAAGAGGGGAACCACTATCCCAGTCTTCCAATCCAGTGGCACTACCCCTGATGTCCACATGATGTTGCAAAGGTGTGTCAACCAAGACAGCCCTACAACATCCAGAGTCTGAAGGAAATCAGGGTGAATCTTATCCACCCCTAGAGCCCTGCCACCACAGTTTTTTAACTACCTCTGCAACCTCAGTTATGGACAGACCAACCCTGAAGCCCTCTGACTCTGCTTCCTCACAGAAGATGTGCTGGTGGGATTGAGAAGGTCTGATAAGTATTCCTTCCACCTCCCAATGACATTCCTGGTTGAGATCAACAGCCCTCCACCTTCACTGAACACAGCGTTAGTAAAGAGCTGCTTTTCCCCCCTCAGATGCCTGATGGTTTACCAGAATCTCCTCAGAGCCAACCAAGAGTCTTTATCAAAGATCTCACTGAACTCCTCCCACATCCAAGCATTTGCCTCAGCAACAGCCAAGGCTGTGGACTGCTTGGCCCTCCGGTACTCCTCAGTTGCCTCTGGAGTCCCACCAGCCAATAAGGACCAATAGGACACCTTCTTCAGATTGACAGCCTCCCTAACCCAGGGTGTCCACCACTGAGTTTGAGGATGGCCACTGTAAAGAGCACCATCAACTTTGTGACCACACCTCAAGGCAGCCACTTCAACAACTAAAGTCGTGGAACATGGCCCACTCGGACTCAATGTCCCCCACCTCAGCTGGGATGCAGTTTAAGCTCTCCTGGAGGTGTGAGTTGGAGATCTTTCTGACGGGTTCTTCTGCTAGGTGTTCCCAGCAAACTCTCACTACACGTTTGGGTCTACCAGGTCTGTCTGACATCTTCCCCCACCATCTTATCCAACTTACTACCAGGTGGTGCTCAGTTGACAGCTCAGCTCCTCTCTTCACCCAAGTGTCCAAAAACAAATGGCAGCAAATCAGATGACATGACTACAAAGTCAGTCATCAACCTATGACCTAGGGTGTCCTGATGGCAAGTGCACTTATGGACACCCTTATGTTCGAACATAGTGTTTGTGATGGAAAAACTATGACTAGCACAGAAGTCCAATAACAGAAGGCCACTCGAATTTCAGATTAGAGAGACCGTTCCTCCCAGTCACGCCCCTCCAGGTCACACTGTCGTTACTCACATGGGCATTGAAGTCCCCCAGCAGAATAAAGGAGTGCCCAGATGGAGCACTTTCCAGCACCCCCACCAAGGACCCCAAGAAAGTCAAATACTCTGAACTGCTATTTGGCGCATAGGCACAGACAACAGTCAGAGCCCGTCCCCCACCCAAACGCGCAGGGAACCTACCTTTTCATCTACTGGGGAAAACTCCAAAACACAGGCACCAAGTCGGGGTGATAAGAGTAGATCCACACCAGCTCGGCACCTCTCACCATGGGCAACTCCAGAGTGGAATAAGGTCCAGCCCCTCTCAAAGAGATTGATTCCAGAGCCCATGCTGTGTGTCAAGGTGAGCCCAACAATATCTAGTTGGTACCTCTCAACCTCACACACAAGCTCAGGCTTCTTCCCCACCAGAGAGGTCACATTCCATGTCCTAAGAGCCAGCTTTGGTAAGCCAGGGTCAGAGTGCAAAGGCCCGCACCTTCGGCCACTGTCCATGGCATCATGCACCCGACTAATATGGCCACTCTTGCTGGTGGTTCCCACAGGAAAGCAAACCCATGATGTTCCTTTGGGCTGAGGCCGACCAGGCCCCATGGGTAGAGACCCAGTCACCAGGCACTCACCAACAAGTCCCTCCCTCAGGCCTGGCTCCAGAGTAGGGCCCCGGTAACCCACGTTCGGGAAAGGGACATGGAGTTCCTTGTTCTGTTTTGTCCATCAAAAGTCTTTGGATTTTTTTTTTCATAATTTTCCAGGACTAGGCACAATGGCAGAGCTAGGGGGGTGGTCAAGGATGGCCTTGGCCTCCATAGATTAATCTTTGGCTACAAAGGCCTCCCTGATCATTTGAGGCAATTATACTTTTAAGCAATGTAAAATCTAGAAAGCGTAGTTTCCTCAAATGGTCAATTTGTTCAGTTTACATAAATACTTTGTATATGATGGTGGACATCTTGGATTTTGACTTGGCAAAACCCACTTTTTGAAATTGATCTTTCTTACACCTTGATGCAGCCACACACCAAAATGGAAGTCATTACCTCACTTATTTTTAAAGTTACCATGCTCACAACACAGACGGAGGGTATTTCCAATTTCCTCTCTTTGCTCTGTAATGGGGGACAAAAACAAAAAAAGGGGCTAAGCTTATTTCTGCTATTCAAAATACAACGAAAAACTGTTGTGAATGATGGCATGGTGAGCACACAGCTGAGTGGGCACTGTTCATTCGAGCTGGTTTGACTTGACTTGGTTGGGGTGTCTTGCTTGAAATATCTGTTTTTCTCTTATAAATATCTCTTTATTAGTTTCCAAGTTGGATTTTTTTACTGTAATTTCTGACAAGATTCAAATGCAACATTGCTCACTCAGTCAGCTGTGACTGTTCAGTGGCCCTTCAGGGGGCAGTGACCCTTAGGCCACCTGTTAATCTGCACACTAAGTGGACTGATGGGTTCTCCATCTTTAAATAACACTGACTCTGGTGTAGACTCACATAAAACATCTCACTAAGACAATAAGACATAAAACACTAACAATGTGGCTTCTTTTTTCAACAAGATTTTGTAGAGTTCAGTTCCACCTAAAGCTTTAAATTTTAGACCTAATCAAATATCACTCTCTGGTCCCACATGCTTGTCCAAATATGGTCTCTTCTGTCTCCAAAAAGACTCAAATGGCCACAGCTAAATGCTGAGCTCATGGGTCAAGTTCTGATGAGTACATTACAGGAGCTCAGATTCAGAGAAGAGAGCAAGCTTTCAGAATCATTCAGGGTTTGGCTTTAAGAGTTCCAGGTTTCTTTAGCTCTGCTTACTGATGATACCTTCTGGTTCCTGGGCCGTGATTCTATATCCTGTCAGATTTGAATAGAGCTCGCTCCATCCATCATCCATCCATCTATCATCCATTCACCATCCATCTTTTCATCCATCCATCCATTCATCCATCCTTCCATACACCATTCATCTATTCATCTACCATCCATCCATCCATCCATCCACCATCCATGCATCATCCATCCAGCCATCTAGCTATCCATTCATCACCCATGATCCATCCAACCATTCATCCATCCATCATCCAACATCCATCCAGCCATCCATCCATCCATCCACCATCCATCTATCATTAATCATTCAAACACTATCCAGCATCATCCATACACCATCCATCCATCCATCCATCCATCCAGCCATCCATCATCCATCCATCATCCATCCATACACCACCCATCCATTATCCATCCATGTGACTGAGTTATTTCCATTGTTGTGCTTAACTTCAGTTGACCGTGTCAGCCATCTTGATCTTCTCCAACAGTTACTGAGTTGTAGAGCATCAAATCATTTCTTTAGGAGAGCTTTTATAACTCCTGGAAGTCCCTTTTACTTTATGACAGTTTTTGTTCCTTAGGGGGAAATTCAACCTTCCTTTTACACAGCTTAAAAATACTATGCTTTATTTTTTTTCGACAAAAAAGTAGTTAATCCTTTACAGCTATCTCAATCTGAAACAAAAACATTAAATATAAATGTGTAAAGTAAAAAGTAACATTTTTAAAGGTCTTTTATTTAATATATATATATATATATATATCAAATTTCAATTTATAAAAAATAAGCTAAATATTTATTTTACATCAGTTTACAAATATTTATATACATATATACATATATATATATATATATTTTTTTTTTCCCCCCCTCAATAAATATGCCCAAAATACATTTTACATTCTTTTTAGTTTCAAATCGAGTCAAATGTTGTTTTTAGTCAAATGAACTTCTGTGTCTATTGGATATTTTTAGGCTTTGTCAGAAAAAGACATTACTTGACTACACCAAAATAAATAAGGGACAAAAATAATGTGTGGCAGATTTTCCTCCACAAGGTTTTCAAAGAGGGCAGCACGGTGGCACAACTGGTAGAGCTGCTGCCTCTCAGCGAGCAGGTCCCTGGTTCAAAACCCGGTCCAGGGGCCTTTCTGGGTGGAGTTTGCATGTTCTCTCTGTGCATGTGTGGGTTTCCTCCTGGTACTCCGGTTTCCTCCCACAGACCAAAAACATGCATGTTAGGCTGACTGGTAACTCTAAATTGTCCCTAGGTGGGAATGAGAGAGTGAATGGTTGTTTGTCTCGTTTGTCTCTATGTGTCCCTGTGATGGACTGGAGACATGTCCAGGGTGTACCCCGCCCCTCGCACAGTGATTGCTGGACATGGGCACCAGTGACCCCCGTGACCCAGAATGGAAGAAGCGGGTAAAAGTTAATGGAGGGATGGATTTTCAAAGGGTTAAAATCTGCCCAATGATTTCTGAGGTATTTTGCTAACAGAAATAATTGACTTTATAAGCAACATTTTAATTAAAGACGGTGTCATTTAGAAGTCAGAGTAGTCAGAGTTGGTGCTCTGCTACTGCCACTCCAATCTTTATTTGTAAAACTGACATTTATAGACATGTCTGTGTTTGCAGACTTTGATTAGCTGTGGAGGCCATCTTGAACCAGTGAACTCCAGATCTAATGACAGGTTTCTGGAAGCTTTATTAAAATCCGTCCACTGATATTTTGCTAACAGACACAATAAAACAACTTTTAGGCTTTGTCTTTCATCTTGAAGCGCGTGTGTGGAGGGAGGACAGTGTCAGATGTTCCGCCCCCACGCTCACTTAAACAACAAGGAAGCGCATCGCCCTGCATTTACTGTCCGCGCGCACCGAGCGCAGGCTCGCCCTCTCTGATGTTCGCCGCTCGCGGAGCTCTGTAACCCGGCTGGCCCTGCCGCGCGCGCGCGCGCTCATGTGCAAACCCGTGAAGAATCAAAGCCTGCGGAGGGAGACCGACGTCGCGTGAGCGCCATGGAGGAGCTGTGCTCCGCGGAAACCGAGAGGATGGAAGCGTGGCTGGACGACCACTTGGAGTTCACGCGCTCATACTTTGTCCGGAAGGCGTCAAGGTAAGAGGAGCGGAACCAACCGAACCGAACCGGCTCCCTCCGAGCGCTGCTAGCGATGAGTGTGAAGTGTTTGTGATGAAGGTTCAGAGCTGACATCCTCTGACAGGAGGAACCCCCCGGTCTGCTGCCCTGCTCTGGTTCTGGACCTGGTCCTGGTCCTGGATCCTGTCTCTGCAGTCCACCTCCAGGCTCCTCTAACTTGGACTAGACGAACAGTTTGAAGCTTGTTTAGGAAGCAGCGTCATTGAGCAGCTCACCCAGTAGTTCCACAAGTCTGTTCAAAATAAACTCAGCTTTAAATTAAATTCACTTATTATGTTGTTTTTAACCTGCTGCTCGGTGTTACAATGAATTCAAATAGGCTTCTTATTTGATTCTTTTTTCATAGTTGAAACGGTCTGCAGAGTAACTTTCATTGGGTTTTTTCTTGGCTCTTTTTAAGACATCAGACTGAAGCCTACTTTATTTTATTTTATTTTATTTTTTAAATAGCTTCTTTTTTCATATGTTTTGGTTCAGATAAGTCCTGGTTAGAGCTGCACTGTATCAGAAACTTGCTATGTGCGATATTACTGTTTATTGTTGTGATGATGACATCAGTTGTGATGAATCCACATTTTCCTACTTTTCCCTTCAGTCATGACGTCATATATATATAAACCAGGTGTGCACATGGAGGCACTGAGTCTGTTGGATGGATCAGATTCATCTTTAGCGCTCACAACTCTGATGTGTCATACTTGAAATACAACAACCAATAATTTATTGCAATCCAAGCCATCCTTTGTGATATTGATGCTTCTTCTTTCAGCTTTTCCCGCTTCAGGGGTCACCACAGCGAGTCCTCCTCCATCTCACTCTGTCCTCACTCCAACCACCTCCATGTCCTCTCTAACTGCATCCATATATCTCCTCTTAGTCTTTTTTCTGGCAGCTGCATTTCTAACATCCTTCTACCAATACAACCACCGTCCCTCCTCTGGACATGTCCAAACCACTGTCCCTCCTCTGGACATGTCCAAACCACTGTCCCTCCTCTGAACATGTCCAAACCACTGTCCCTCCTCTGGACATGTCCAAACCATCTCAGTCTGGTCTCACTACCTTTATCTCCCAGTTGTTCAACCTGTGCTGTACCTCTGATGATCTCATTCCTAATATTATCCATCCTTGTCACTCCTAAGGAGAACCTCAACATCTTCATTTCTGCCACTTCTGTCTCCTGTCTTTTTGTCCATGTCTCTGTCTCCAGACCATACAACACAGCTGGGCTCACCATTGTCTTGTAAACTTTTCCTTTGACCTTTGCTGACACCCTGTTGTCACCAATCACTCCTGGAAAATTTCTCCATCCACTCCATCCTGCCTGGACTCTCTTCTTCACCTCTTTATAGTGGACCCCAAGTCCTTGAAGTCCTGCACCTTTGTGACCTCTGCTCCTTGTAGCCTCACTGTTCCACCTCCTCTCTCATTCACACACATGTACTCTGTCTTATTATGGGTGACTTTCATTACTCTTCTCTCAAGTGCATACCTCCATCTCTCTACGTTCTCTTCCACCTGTTCCCTGTTCTTACCACAGATTACAATGTCATCTGCAAACATGGCAAAAGTACAAAAACTTCATCCACTCCATCCTGGCTGGATTGTCCACCACACCTCTCCCCAACCCATGTCTGATACTAGGGGGATTGGGGGGGGGGGGGGGGGGTGATTCCAGTGTTGCTAACTTAGAGACAGACTGCAGGTGAGAGCACCAATCAGTGTTTTCTGGACTGTTTTCTAAGGAGGACACCCCGCTACCCTAACCAAAGGGGATGACATGTAATAAATAATTAAACATGTATGAATTAAAAGTGTTCTCACGTGACCAGTTCACTGCAGCCAGGGGAGATACCAGAACTGGTACACCCCATGCCCTCCTCCCATACCATGCACCAACCTCCTTAGGACTATTGTATCTAAATACTAACTTTGTATTAAATTTTCATGTGTGTGTGGAGAGAGAGACTGACTCACTCTTGGACCTGACATGTCCAAGAACACAACCTGTTTGAGTCTTTCACAGTGTGTTGCTTTCATTCCTATAATTAATAATAACTAAAAGAAGATGGATATTTATCTTATTATTATTATAAATATACCGATTATGACAAAGATGTTTGTTTCCATTTAACTTTTTTTTCTCCCAAATTCACATAGTTCTATCTGTGAGAGTCTGTTTCAAGTTTTTGTAGTTTATATTAAATATTGGCTAAATTTAATTCTACAGTGCACCAACAAGGTGTTGTGGCTGTTTGTATGAGTTAAACTAGATTATATTTAGAACCATACTGAGAGGTAACTGTACTGTGTTAAATGTACTTTAATAAATGATCAAATATGAAAATAAATATATTAAATGACTACATGAGCTGAAATCCTGTAAATATAATCCTTTTGAATGAAGTAATAATTTTAGGGAGGAATATATGTGAGTCTGGCAAATAAAAAATGTTTTTTAGGCTAAGGTATAGGCAACACGGTTGCACCGTTGGTAGAGTTGCCACCTCTCAGTGAGAAGGTCGCCCATTCAAATCCCGGCCCGGGGCCTTTCTGGGTGGAGTTTGCATGTTCTCTCCGTGCATGAGTGGGTTTTCTCCAGGTACTCCAGTTTCCTCCCACAGACCAAAAACATGCATGTTAGACTGATTGGTAACTCTAAATTGTCCCTAGGTGTGAGTGAGAGAGTGAATGGTTGTTTGTCTCATTTGTATCTATGTGTCCCTGTGATGGACTGGAGACCTGTCCAGGGTGTCCCCTGCCTCTCACACAGTGACTGCTGGACATGGGCACCAGTGACCCCTGTGACCCAAAAAGGGAGAAAATATGGATGGATGGATGGATAAATCATACTCTGCAAAATAATTCTTGTGCTGTACTTTTTTCTAGAATTGCGCCGCTCAAGGTGGCTGCATGTTGGAGCAACTCTGTTACTTTCATTCTGAGATTTTGCTTTTGGAAACTTTAATTCCTGGTTTTCTGGATGTAAATCATATTTTTTGGATTATTGTTTCTTCTGGTATCAGATGCTGTGCAGCTGGAAGGATTTTTACTGAAACTTTTTAAGTTTTGGACATTTGTTATGATGCGTAACCATGGCAACAAGGCTGTTTTCTACAACAACAGCAGCTGATTAACATCTCAAAAGCTCAAATAATATCTCAACTATGGCCCCAACTCTCAAATGAGTTGAAAAGGATGTTATGTGGACGCATTCTCATCTACCTGCCAGCTGTGCTCGAGTGCCTGACCACTGAGATCCTGGAACTAGCAGGAAACACGGCTCAGGACAGCAGAAGGACAGGATCGTCCCTCGGCACCTACAATTGGCTGTCCACAGCTATGAGGAGCTCGGCAGACTGTTGGGAGAAGTGGCCATCGCTCTGGGAGGAGATCAGCCCAGCATTCAAGCGGTCCTACAGTCCAGGGGAACTGAGAAGTCAGCCGAGTCTGGGTGGAAAGATCTGACGGCATCTGCAGCCAGTTTCTTAGGCTCCACTGTGGGATGGACCTTTACAAGAGATCCTTCCTGTCTACAGACATCAGTATCTATAACATCTTTTAATGAAATTAGGATAACGAGTTATAACAACAAATAATTTCCCTTTGGGATTAATAAAGTATATTTGAATTTGAATTTGAATTTGAATGTTATACAGTATCTGACAATCCCTCAAAATGCAAACTAGAGAAAACTTTTTCAAACCGTCTCTTCCTTCAGAATGATGCTGACCTTTATGTTGCATCATTAGACAACACAATGCTGTATACTTGTAGTATGGTCATGTACACACAATACTGTGTACTTTTACCAAGGTCATGTACACACTATACTGTGTACTTTTACCAAGGTCATGTACTAAATATACTGTATACTTTTACTAAGGTCATGTACACACTATACTGTGTACTTTTACTAAGGCCATGCACATGGTATACCGTTTGCTTTTACTCAGGTAATGTACTCAGTGTGAACATGATCTCAGTAAAATACACAGTATGCTATGCACTCTTACTGAGGTCTTGTATGTATACTGTTTACTTTTACTAAAGTTGTGTACACTGTGTACTGTGTACTTTTACTAAAGTCATGCACACAGTTTACTGTGTACTTTTACCCCAAGGTCATGTACACAATATTTTGTGTACTTTTACTAAGGTCAAATACACAGTATTCTGTATACTTTTTACTAAGGTCATGTATGCAATATACAGTAGTCCCTCGTTTATTGTGGGGGTTCTGTTACCCCCACCACCACCACACGATAAGTGAAAAACCGTGAAGTAGGGATACAGTAGTCCAAGTTCAAGTTCAGTAAACTTTGTCATTGTAGGGATGGCACCATCTAGTGGGCCTTCCCCTGTCTGTTCTCCCTTGTGTCTCTGTATTGATTGATTATTGTCACCTGTGTCATGTCTTGTTTGTGTATATAAAGTCTGTTAGTTCTGTCGGTGTAGGTTCATCGTTGGGTATTGCCTGTCCTGTCCTGCCTGTCTGATCCTGTTTAATCCTGTTCCTGAATCTGTTTTTGTAAGTTTTTGCTGCCATGTCGGCCTTTTGATTTATTATTATTAAAAGTATTTTATTTTACGCCTGTCTCCTGAGTCTTGCCTGCGCAACTGGGTTCTCTTGTCCTGATCTGCCTTGAAACCCTGCCAGTCATGATGTGCCATGCTGTAATCACACTCATCACCTGTTACTCCCAATTTCCCTCCTTAAATAAACAATATAAATTTAAATACTGTTCATCCATCCATTATCTTTTACCCGCTTCTTCCATTTTGGGTCACGGGGGTCACCGGTGCCCATGTCCAGCAGTCACTGTGCAAGGGGTGGGGTACACCCTGGACAGGTCTCCAGGTGGTTTTGTTACTTTTGAAGTCCACAACCATCTTTTTCATCTTCTTCACATTGATGTGAAGGTTATTCTCCTTGCACCAGCTCTCCAGGTGTTCCA